CCTTCCTAGTTTCCCTAAAACAAATCTGTAAAGCTCGGGGTATATTTGTAGTTCTGCCTGCTTCTTTTTAGCTGATTCTTCTGTAAACTCTAAAGAAGACAGGGCTGATGTAAGAGATACTATATGATCTCTACTTTTCAAATGTGAAATTCCCCCACTAAAATGATAATGAAATATTAGAGAATATAGCCCTAAATTTTCTTGCTTGCATATTCTCAATTTTTCTTGTTGTCTGAAGTTTTACACATCTTGGCCCATGAAGCCTCTTATAGGAGACATGGAAACAAAAATCAAGAAACTGTCTCTTCTCTCCCTCTCACTCATGCGAATTCATGGCCTACCAGGCTTTTCGTTCTGACAGGTTACAGATGAACAAAGTGGAACAAGACCGGTCTCTACTGGCATGTCTTGGAAACTGCCTTATGAACACACCCTGAGGTGATGTTAGCACAACATAGAAACACTCCTTCAAAATTAACACAGAGGTGATTTGCTTGGTTTGAAATGAAAGACACCATATGGGAGAGAGTCAGTTAGTTACCGTAAGGACACTAATGGAGCTGTAGACTGGAGAAGGAGACAGAATAATTTTAAATGAATTTTAGTGGAATGGTTTTAGACCCTGAATAAACAGTGCTGTGATCAGAGGCAGACTAAAACCAAGGCAAGCAAATAATATCCCAGTATTAGTGTTAGTATTTAGGCAGAGTCAGACAAATATAATCCAAAATATATATTTAAAGATAATTCAGTCTAGACAAAACAAATGTCTGCAGTCATTCCCATAATTAGTGACTTAAACACACAGTTTTTCTGTTGTAGAAGAGAGAATACTGTAGGGGCACCTGAGATCCCCTGTTCAATATCTTGCCTTATGCAGTCCTATGTCTTGGTCCTAAATGTTGCAGCTTAGTCTATGTTTCTCATTCCCTTCCTGGGACACTAATAGCTGTTCCCAGCTGAACAGGCTGTATCAAAAATTATGGATTCTTCTGAAAACAAGAGAAAATAATTTGTGTTTTTTCTAGTAGAAATATCTTGTTTCAAAGAATTGTGTCCTGTACTTGCTTACTTTTTATAAGGACAGACTGAAGTGGAACTGTTAAAGAGCAATATGAACAATGTATTTACTGCAGGTACTTGGTCACATGGCTGACTATGTGTTGATCTTTTATGTAAGAACACTAGGCCGAGGTGGGCTGTGTATGACCCAAGCCTAAACTGGTTTGTTCACATGCCTGTCTTTCCCTGTATTGCCTCAGTGTGACACACAGTCTCACAGACACAGATCTTTCCCTCTTGGGAGTTACATCATACCTGAACAAATCTATGGGGGAAAAAAAATACAGTTGTGTCTCCATTTAGTTATGTGTAAGGGAGGGAGGTAAAAGTATCCTTGTTACCTGTAATTGCCAGTTCCCATCCCCTTTAGACAGTCTCCAAAATGAAGGCATGCTCCTACTCCTAGACCATACCTTTTCATACTCAGGGTCACAGGCACCTGGGAGAAGCTTGTACTTCTTCCTGCAACAGAGCAGTCAGAGGAATACAAACTTAAGAGCTCAGCATCTTACTTTCCTCCCCTTCAGAACAACTATGACAAGTGTGGCACAGACCAAAGAGGATATTCACAATGAGGCCAGGCTACAAACAGTATTCTGTAGTAAACAAATAGCTCTCAATGCAAACCAGTTACTGTGGACTTGAGGTCTGTTTATCATCTTGGTGCAGAAATAAAAAAGAGTAGGAAGGAAAGCAGCATGAACACTGTCATGAAGTTAACAAATGAAAAATACCTTCATTTAAAACCAGCTAATAAAAGAAAAAAATACTTTTTTGTCTGTATTTAAAAAATGTCTGAATTATAAATTCAGTGATAATGGATACACTCAGAGGTAATCAGTCTATCACACCAAAACAGCAATGGCAGAGGAAGGATGTGGCCTAGTAGCTCCCATGGCAATCTTTCATGGTGACTGGATAACAAAAATGGGAGGGCAGAGCCATGGGTGGGATTGTTTTTGTATGAGGTTTTATCGTTGTGGGGACAGGGGGGCCACGATGATACATTCCCCAGGAGGCCTTTACAAAAACCCATATGTGCATAAGCCTTGTGGGAGAGTGTGTTAAGAGAGCTACAGAGAATTCTGCAGCACAGTGGGCATGTTCTGTCTTGGGTTTTTCTTGACAGACCTAGTATGCTAGGATTTACTTTGATCATCTGAGAACCAAGCTTGTCCTCTCTGGAAAGCAAGCCAGGAGATTCTGAGACACTGAAATAATTTTCAGCAAGCCAGACTGACTGCAGATGCACCTAAAACCTATCATAGTATGTGAAGCGGAGAATTAGTATTTTTTTTCTGATGCAATAATGCTTGCAACAGACCACAAAATAGTTCTTTGTTAATGTGATAAAAACGTTAGAAAAAGAATTCTGACATGTAGCAGGTATCTCTTTGAGGCACTATATAAAATGTGTTGGGGCTTTCTCTCTTAGATAAGTCTCCAGTGTCCACTGACTGACTCATGCCTGCGAGCACAAAGGTTTTCTCTAATCCCTCTCCACTGCGTTTCTTCCTGATGGATATCAAGGGTTTGTCTGAGACCAGCCAACTGCTTCTTCTGAATTCTCCTTGTGTGGATTACTTTTAACCTAGCAGAAAATTGAATGGGATCCTGAAAGACTATTCAAGATGGCTGGCCTGCCATAGAAGGGAAAACATGGATTTGTTATGGTTCAGTGCCACAGAGGAAAACCACCTATATGAAAAGGCATGTGACAATGACAACCACAAAGCAAGTATTACTTGATTATTAACTCCACAAGTTAGGAAGGCTTCACAATACTTAGAGTACAAGACTGAGAGTAAGGAAGCTCCAGTTGTGGAGGAATTATATTTCTAGACAATGACAGCCCCTACACTTTGGGTACATCTGCATGGTTTCTACATCTGCAAAATGAAAATAGCAGGTAATATTGGTGAGATAACATGGAGGTTGGAGAAAGGTTGTAAAACAACTTGAGGTGAAATATAGACAATAAAAATAAGAATCAAAAAACTCTGGGAAATGATTTTATAAATGCTACCGATTATACAACTGGATTTCAAGATGGTTTTCTGCCAAAACCTTTCAGGCAGAGATTGAGCTATCTCTGGGTTTCCAGCTACAGTAAACATTGCTTACGCTTCTGCAGTGCATCCCTTTTCTTAGTTTATGATACAACACTTTGTCACTGTGACTACAAATAACATGGTTTTCGGCGATGGCACAAAACTTACAGTAATTGGTAAGAAATTTTTTATTTTCTCTTTTAGATCACTTCAAATCCCAGGTCTTCTCTTTAGAGAACTTCACTTTAACCTTATTTTGCCTTTCATTTTCAAACTGGTGTTTCCTGATGTACTAGTAACCTAGTCTACTTTGGAGAATAGATTTAAGTTTAGTACTCCAGGTAGGGACACATATTTGATGTTGGAGAACTGAATTAATGCATTTTTAGTGAAGAAAAAGTTGTCCATATAAATAATTAGGATGAGGAACATGTTAAAAAATATATGCATATCATAAGTATATTTTCTTAATAAACTGAATTTGCAAAATCCACTATTCCCCAAAAGTATAACTATTCTCCATAACTAGCTAGTTTTCCTTGGGCTACAGGTGATTAATGACAAGTCAATGAGAGGCTGTCTGGAAATAATTGAGTTACAGTTACACTTTAGACATGTCTACAAAACAAAATCAAGACTCTATAAACTTAAACTACTTTTTTATCTATCTCAAATAATGGAAGGACAAATAAGTGGTCTTAGCATTCTTAGTTGACAAAACAGAAGCCACAAGTAAATACTCAACTTGATAAGCAATACTAACAGCTGTCTGCAGCTGTTTAATTCCCTATTACAGAAAACAACTCTCCACAGTGCAGCAAGGTTCCTTCCACAAAACAGGCTTGTCAGGATGATGATTAAAAGATCATTTAGAACAATGGTTTTAATATTTCAGAATTGATGCTAAAAGGCCACTGAAAATCACGGAAAGAGAATATGTTGCTCTTTTCAGATGAAAGTAGCTCTCAGGGAATCTTTCTCTGGGACACACTTCTGAATTTGGTCTCGCCAAATTCAGGGGAAAATAAGGTTGCTCCTAAGACTAATAAATGATGGTCATCTCTTCTATTGCTCCTAGAGTCAGAAGAATTGATGCCTCAGGCTTTTATACCACACTGTTCCACTGCAGAATAAAATTATTACAGGTGATAAAATTCAATCCCCACAGGAACAAAATCAGGGATCAGCACTGATTCATTGATTTTTAAATCCAATGTGTGAATCTGAGGTGCCTGAGCTGATGAAAATCAATACACTCGTCCCTCACTGTCCATAACAAATTATGCAGCTACGTGTAATAGTCATAGCTAAGAGAACAGAGAGAATAAAAGCAGAGACTTCCTTCTAGGGAAGGAGAAAGGGAAGGATGTTTAGGAACTGCTACAGCAGGGAGAGTGGATCAGTGTCCTGTGTTATATATTATAAGTTATTTTGTAAGTAAAAAAACCTCCAAACATTTATTTTGGAAGAGGATAATCTTGATGATCTTGAAAGGAAATGAGGAAATTAAGAAAATGAGGCTGTTTAGCTGAAAATAAGCAAATAAATTTACTCTGTCTACACATGCGAAATATTTTTCTAATAGTACACCTAGATAAACAGATAAATGTCTTCTAAAGAAATGGTGAAAGCTGCTACAGCTGATTCACATAAGCCTGAAGAAAAAGAATACCTCTGGAAGAGGTATTTCTGAGCTTGATCTCACCTGGTTAGACACACAGAAGTGGTGGTGTTCCCTTGCAGTCCTTTTATTTTTTTGAGGGGACAATTAATTAATGTACTTTGTGTTTCTTCTTTTGCTGGTACTGCATGTGGGGAGGGTTAGTCCACAGGTTTGGCTCAGAGGACTGAGAGTAGAGGAGAGGTTTTTCTGCAGCTGCAAAACAGTGTGAATAGTGAAAGACTGTACTTTGGCAGTGGAACAAAACTCACAGTCCTAGGTAAGACAAAAGTCAATCTCTGAGATACATGTGATACTGGTTTAGGGACAACAGCATCCTTAATTAACAGTAGAATAATGATAATTATTTTCATACAGCCATGAGGACAGAATTAATGGCTTATTGGTTGTTTATTAAAATGAGGTGTGCTAGCATGGAAGTGTAGGATTTGCAGGCAGGAGTTTTGAGATTCTTTTGTCTGTTTCCTTTGTCTTCTGTTTCCTCCCATTCTCCAAGAAAACATTATAGAGGCTGGGAAATTCTTTGGTCTGCAAGTTTTTGCAGTTCATCTATGTAACAATCAAAAGCAACATTTCAGAAGCCTGGATTCTTGTGTCCGCTAAATGAATCAGGCAGGGAAAGAGTAGTCTTGATAGTACTTTTCTCCCCTCTCCATAGATGGTGGATAGGCTGCCTAAAGTTCCTCTGGGAAACAGGATTCCTCTAACAGTCTTTTTAATCACTTCTAATTCTCAAAAAGGACTATATTCATTTTCTCTCAGTGCACTTCTCTGTTCTTTCTCTTTTCCCCTTTTGCTTTCTCTGCCATCTCCCCTCTCAGGAAAGGATTTAACATCACCTATATCAAGGCATTTTGGAATCACAGGGCAAAGTAATAATTTCTATCTCCTACTGCCACATCTGATAGCAAACTATAGAAATACAAGGTGAGGGTGCCTTTAAACAGGACCATTTTGAGGAACTAAGTGCCTGGCAATACAAGCATAATGATACTGCAGGTTAAAGCCTGATTGTGTACAGCTGTGCTTTTTAACTATGCTACTTACCTTTGGAGTTGGCACTGCACTCAGAGTTACAGATAAGTAGCCACGATTAACCTGAGTCTCAGTGTGGAGGAGATTTGAAAATTTCCCTTGCATTAGTATGTAGCATATGCCCAGATGATTTTAAAATGAGAGTAAGAGTGAAAGATAACAAGAAATCATGAAACTGACATTGCCATGGTGGGAATGGAAGAACTGTGGTACTTTTTCTCTTAGGTGGGTGAAGAATGTGTGACAGTGAAAGCATGAGTTTAGCACAGAAGTGATCAAGCATTGTAGTAGTGTCTGCTATTAACACTGTGGAAGATCAGAACAGAATGGGCTGTTAATAACACTCTTTTCTCATTGTCTCTGCTCTTGCTTGTACAAGTCTCCATATTCTATTTCAAGTATGCTTATTCTTTGATTTTCTTTGTCTTTCCAGTATTTTTATAATTCTTTCTGTTGGCCTTTTTCACCTGCCTATCTCTGTCTTTTTTTCTGGTTTAGTCTCTCATTTTTCTTTTGTGTTATCCCTATCTATGGGGATAGAGAGATTTCTATGTCTTCACTCCTAGCCATTTAGGTTCTGAGCCAATGAACTTATGTCAGAGACACTTTCAGGATAGGAAAAATTTTCATAAAGCCAAGTACTAGAAGGGATCAATAAAAGTGATCAACCTCTCCTCATAGTGATCAACCATATCCACTAGGAGGAAAGCAGAGCAGTGGCAAACCTTCTAGGGGGTAATCTCCATTACTATCCAGTTACCTCTTCTGAAGTCTGTTCAACCTCATGCTTTTTCACAACCATGACTAAGTCTAACAGCTGAAAACAAACAATAGAGCTTAGGGGTCAAGCTCTATGCATGATACAAGTTTCTGCTAATTCTCTACGCTCTAGAAAGGAGGGAGTGATCAGGAAGAACATCTACAATTTATAGTGCCTTCACACTGAAAAAAAGTAAAAGTTTTCTCTTTGGCTCCGTAGTTCTCTCTGCATTTCTGTTTCTATGTGCATTCTGCAGACCTGATGGGCTTATAATGCATAAAAAAGGCACTCTAATTAAGTGTATGGGGGGAAAAAAAAATGTGGCTTTTAGGGCCACTGTCTGGCTTCTGAGTAATATCTCATTGTTGCCTTGTACATCCTTTTGACTAGAATTCTCTTGTCTTTAGTCTTATATGTAGGTATTAAACCCTTTAGGACAGGGCACAACTTTTCGTTTGTGAGTGTATATAATAGAATCTTACATCATTTGGGGAAGATGTGTAGTCTAGAATGAGGTCTTCTCATAACCTAAATAATAAATAACATAAAGTGATATTTCATAGTCTTAGAAAAGGATCACAAGTTAAGACCCAAAGCAAAAATTGTCCCAGGCAGATTCAGGTTACCTACCTAAAGTGTCCTTCAGACATTGAGAATCAGATGTTCTTCCTTTCAAGTCACCTCTTAGTTGGGGGAATCCAAGTAGGGTATCACATGGCAGTGTAATTCTGAGCACTGCAATAAATATCATGTCTTACTACATCTTCAGGAATATGAAGATGCTTGTGCCTTATAACACAGACTCTCATCTATTAGTACAATAATACAAATACAGGCCTTATAGCACTACTGAGTAACATTCTGCCTATCTTTTTTTTCAGCTTCTTTTCAGCTTTCATATTCTCTGACAGAGACAATACTAGAAACTCATGCATTTCTCTAGCCAGACCTTTTATGTTTCTTTATAATAGGTGAAGAAACATGCTTTCAGTTTCCTGGTGTCTACATATCCAATAAATATTAATAATCTAATAGAAAGTTGTTAAAAGGCCAGAAATATTGGGAGTCACACATTATGCATACAATTTTAAGGGATTTCTTTTTAAAGAGAGTGATGGGAGGATCTGGAATATATTGCTTTCAATTTCAGGGAAGAATGATAAAATTACACCTCCAACTGTGGCCATCTTTTCCCCATCAAAGCAAGAGATCCAACAGAAGAGCAAGGCCACACTGGTATGCCTGGCCTCTGGTTTCTATCCTGACCACATGAAACTATTCTGGAAGGTGAATGGTGCTGAAAGAACAGAAGGGGTGGGGACAGATGAGTTTTCCACACAGAATGAAGGTACCTACTCATTGACCAGCCGACTGAGGATCTCAGCCCAGGAATGGTTCAACCCTTTGAATCGTTTTGAGTGTGTTGCAACTTTTTTTAAGAATGGAACACTGGAATCGATAAACAAATTCATCTATGGTGATGCTGGTGAGTAAGAAATATGTAGCACCATGCTGCACAAACTAGAAATCACAAATCAGAAGGGTGTGGGTTATGATATGAAACACATCTATATCCAGCTTCTATAAAGGGTGTTGTTATGGGAAAAAATACATATGTAAATATGTAGGTATATGTATATGTCTCTTCATATTCCTGAGGCTCTATATTTACATTATCATTATACATCTCTAGTTTTTCAAAGGTTTCTTCAGATTTTCACTGAGAAATCTCTGTATAGTGAAACATATAGTATAACAAAATACACAGTATAGTAAAATGAATCAGGTAGTTTATTGTAGACTGACTTTTAAAATTCTTATGTTTGCATTGAAGAGAAACATGACTTTCAGTTCATTTTTGTCTTTCAGGTTGTGCACTCACGGAAGGTATGAGTGTTTTCTCACAGACAAATATCTGTATGTATTTTAATTCCAGTTTTACTGACGCTAAGTACAAGGTGTATGAGATTTCTACCACAAGAATTACCTGTACTTCTTAATCTAAGTGATTTTTATGTTAGATTTAAAAAAAAAAAAAAAAAAAAAA